ATTATTATTATTATTATTATTATTATTATTATTGCCATTTCTTTCGTACTAATAATGCATGGAGTCATCGTTTAGAAATGGGCACACCAGTTGTTAGAGACCGCTGTTAATAAAACAGAAGACGAAAACTTGGGGTACGCAATTGATTGTTTGGGGACTGTAAATCTGATAAATAGTTTGCCTTGGGATAAATTAGCGGAAGAATTGTCTCTTTTACCTTGGGTCGAAAGCGCTATTTCAGTTGAGAGGGAGCCAAGATTCTTCCCTGACTTTATTCTTCAAGTTGGTTATTTGTGAAAATTTTTTGTTCTAGTTTGACCTATGTTCTTTGTAAATTATAACTGCCTTGTTTTTTACAGATAGTTATATTGTGTGGCACCATGGCCCGACAGCTGGAAGTGGCTCGAATGCTGGTGCCTCTAGTCGGTCGCTTTATTGATTTACTTTCCGGTTAGTTTTAATTATCAGAATTTATAAAAGTAATTGACAATTTGATATCTTTGTTATTTTAGCTCAGCAAGAGGACGATGAGATGGTGGTACAAATTATTTATCTGTTCTACACGCTAATCACTCATGAAGAATTAAGCGAAAGTTTAATTGGTGGTGGAGCTCAGATTGCTGCTTATCTTCTGGATCTTATGCATGATAGAAATCTTCCAATCAGATCTCTTTGTGACGCTGCGCTTACTATCATTGCGGTACGTTTGTAAGATCAATCGTCATATAAACAACTCATTTTATCGGACGTAAAATAGATTTTGGACATTTTAAGTAAATTGGGCTGGAGGTCATTTGAGATGGGGAATCATCCTAGTCGTAGGGTAAATTCTGTTGAATTTTTCTTTTTATTGTTTCTGGATTTAGGCGTTTTTTATAAAATGAGCAAGAACTCAGACGCCTGGAAAGTAAATTTTTATTTGACGAAATTAGTAATTTGCCGCAGTAGAGTATTTTTTTTCAACAGACAAATTTTCAGGCATTAGTTGGTTTTTTGGCTAAGTACTATCACTTATTAATATTTTGGGATCTTTTCAAATGTTTGTGAGGTTTGCTGATAATCCTCGTTCAAAATTTTGTCAGTTATTTTGTTTGAAGACAGGATGTTTTGATACTGTTTTTAGTGTTTGTTGGTGCAGGATAAGATTTTTTGGGATAGAGGGTCGGATAGGAAACGTGTAGCTTGAGTTTTTAGGATCGTAGTGAAGAATGGGCGAGAAAGATGGATGTTGAACGCTTCCGGTGGCATAATGCTCAGTGGTTGGAAATGGTCTCTGATGCTAATGGTGTTGCATCGCGTGATTCTACTTTATCAGGCTCGCCAGATCCATCCAACATCTTTGGAGCAGAAGAGCTGCTTGATGAATCAGAAATATTTAGTCCTAATGAAAGATTCGGACAAAACTTCTAGTCGTTGTAATACGATCTCACTTAATACTTTAATAGGAAATGATCATTATTTGTCAAATATGGTGTCTAATGTATAAAATTGGTTCTGTTTGTCTTTCTTCAGTGTGGCGCTCATGTCTTTCATATCTTTTGCTGGTTTTGAAATCTTTTTGTCGAACAATTAGTCTTTGGAATGTGATTTATTTTACATTACTTCTTTGCTTAATTGTTAAACGTGTCATTGTTTTTACGCGTTAATATTGCCAAGTACCAGTTTAAGCGTAACATTTGTCAAAATGGTCAAGAAGCTGATATTTGTTCAAATAAAAACTGATAGTTCTTGTAGGTCTTTTAGTGAAAAGATGATTGGTAGTTTCATGGTATGCAGGACTTGTACAATTACCATTGAATACATCGCGTGTTGATTTAAACGGTTGGGTCCTCATTCTGGTCAAATACTGAACTTTTCTGACTTTGTTGTTGTAGTTGATGACGTCTATTTTTGTAAATTTGTAGCTGACAGAGTCTTGTTTAGGTGGTTTGAGGACCCATTGGGTGGAGATGGTTAGTTTCACTATAGCATGGTCTGATAAAACGGTGAAGAGTGCTTTCGTTGGGGCAGTGGTCTGTGCTTTGTGCACGTTGTTCCTGATTGGTTGCGTTTCGATAACTCGTTCTTTGGTGCTGACTTCCGCAGCGTGGCTCTCAGTTTTTTCATTGTTTCTACTGGTTTCTACAGTTGCGTCATGTTCAATTAGTAAAAAGCCGACTGCGTCAAACACCTTCGGTTACTCGCGAGCTCCCGTCATGGCTGTTTTTTCCGCCACCGTAAGTTGGCTTTAACCAGCAGTTTTTCAATTTTTATTATTTTGCTGTTCCTTTATTTCACCATGGCCTTGCCGAATCAATTTTTCAGGTCTTAGCTTCGTTATCTTCTATATTTTTGATGAAAGAAAGCACAGAACATCTTTTGGAAGCTGACCATCACCTTCATTCACATGGACTTTATCTATTCGGTGCCGCGGCAGCCACGATATCGTTGGCGACTGCCGCGTACGGAGCTCCAAATCAGCCGTTTCAGCATGTTCTCACTGCTTCAACCAGTTCATCACTACAGGTTCCTGTGTAGTATGATTCTTCATATTTCAAATTCTTCCGATATTATTCTAATTTATTTATTTAGGAACATTTTGCTGACATATCTCATGCATTATGTTACATCGTTCCCGGACTAAGCATAATATTGTTGCCAAGGCTCAACGCCATGTCAATTCTTGCGTTTCTTACGACTTGTGCTTGCTTCATTACTCATTGGTTACTAATGTTCATTTTTATCGTTAAACTTTAGGTTGTTGTGCTTAATAATTAAATGTCTCAGGTCCAATTAGATTACTTTAAAAGCGAATTTTGATTCCCAGTTGATTAAGGGTTTTTTGGCTGCAGTAACAAAAAAAATTATTTTGATTGCTGTTGGATAGTCAAGGACTTGCTATCTTTTAGTCTCCAAGTTAATGTCTCCATTTTTATAAGGTGTTTACACTAGTTTTAGGTTTGTGACGGATTTGTGGTATATTGATGCCGCCTCAGCACTAACACTCTCTATTTGCGTTTTCATGACAATGTGGCCACTGTCAACATATACGGGAAGAATATTATTGCAGACTTCTCCACCGCACATTCATAATCAAATAGATAGGTTTGAACAACCTTAAGTGCCACTAGCTCTTTGCAGTGTTTAGATGATTGTTCCAAAAGATACTTGGTTAGGTGCATGTCTGAAGCATCGACGATTGAGGGAGTTTTGGAGTTACGAAATGCTCACTTTTGGCAGCTAGATTTCTCATCAATGGTAGGTTCGGTTGATGTACGTGTTAGAAGAGATGCTGATGAACAGTTGGTTCTTTCATATGTCACGGAAAAGCTTTCATCTGTAGTATCAGTTCTTACTGTACAGGTTTGTTTAACTCTTTACTTTTTATTAATTTCTCAGTTTTTTCATCACTTAGTCGGCAAGCATAAGATTTTAAGGTGGTGAAAGACGTAGCGACTTCATGGCAAAATTTTGACAATTTGAACCCTAATCAAGAAAGTCGTTCGTTTCCTTACTTGAATGAATTTTATGGAGCTCCTGTAAGAGGTAATGAGACTGTTTTGCATGCACATGATGAAGGTAGTGCCCATGGTCACTCTCATTCTGGAACTGACATGAGTTACGGTGAGGCAAACCATTTCGGCCATGGTCATTCCCATGATGTTATTCACCATTAAATCGAATAAAAATTTTTGTAATTAACTTACGGTTTTTCAAAAAGTCTAATTTTATAGTATGTTCAGCTGTCTGCATATATGGTTCGGGAAATTTGTTGAAGTGCTTTCATAACTATTTATTTCAATTTTTTCTGCTTGGTTGTGGGTGAATTGAACGGATTCATCTTTTAACATGCTTGAATTCAGATAAACTTGTGCTTTTTTTTGGTTGCAGTTATTGTTTCTCTTGACTTTTGTGCTGTACGTGTGTAGAATTATTTCATCAAATATTTTGCTGTAATCCGTTTTTTACACTTTTGCGTGGTCAGTTAATGTTGTTTATAGTAATCAGTCATCGCTTTTGCGAAATTTTGTTCGGGATATTTTTTAAATAATTTGGAGAACTTTTTCTGATGTTTATGCTCAGCTCAGTTTTAGTTACTTTTTATGGCAATTTTTTAATGTTTTGTGTATGTTTTGTCGATTTACTTCTTTCGTGTCTTTCAAAATGTAGAAATATGAGGTCCATTTGTTTATGGAGTCTTAATTAAATCTGTTTATCTGATTTTTGATGGTAGGGGTTAGTTTGTTAATAACTGGTTTTATGTTAATTCACTCTCCAAAGTTTTGTTTGATAAAAGACAAGAAATTGTTTGTAGAGGTATGACCAGGTATTGCTAGTCCGCCACCATCTGGCGTAAAGGGAGATATTTTGAAAGTTGATTACTCGTAAAGGTAGCCGTTAAATTAAAAGTTTTTGTGAGGAATAGATAGCTGGGAGCGACAGTTATTGCTTTTAAAGTCGTCGTTGTTAATGGTAAGTGCAGTTGGCAGTGCTTAGACTGGATGGCGCAGAAGTCTTTCATAGGTCTGCTTCCTAATCTCTGTCGACAGACATTAGTCCAGAAGGTTGTGCGAGTTAATCACGCTGCAGAATATGTTACCTGTGATATATACGCAGGACAGATTTTGGCTTCAAAAGGTGAGGGTGCAAGACTTGCTTTCTGTAACTGATCTTAGTTACTCAACTTTTAGGGTCTACGGAGTGCTCAGTTTTTGAACAGTTTCAGAAGCAAAAGAAAGAAAATCTTAGAAAAATGGAACGTTTTTGTGCGAAACACGAAGTTACCCCGTCGTTGTTAGTCCCCTTATATCACTGTGTTGCATATAGTTTGGGTATGGCAACTTCATTAATTAGGTGCTGTTTAATATGCAAAATGGGCACACATAAGACTTTTAAGTTTGAATATCAGGTTTTATAACTGGTCGTTTGGGGACGTCGACGGCAATGGGCTTATCAGCGGTTCTTGAGGAAGTCGCTGCTCAAAATCACAACGAACAGATTAAGGACCTCATTGAAGACGATCCCGAAACCGACACCGCATTGCTGCAGGTAAAAAGTGTCAAAATTAGTCAATATTCCTATCTTGTAAAGAATATATTTCCTTCTTATGTTCTCCATGACTACTAACTACTGAATCAAACTTCACTGTTTAACGTCCATTAATTCTTCTTTTTGAAGGCACTGTCAAAGTTTCGAGATGAGGAGATGGAATGCCATGATGCTGGGATGGAAAATCGTAGTTTAGAGGTAAGTAAAATTTTTTTCAATTCCACAGTCTTAAGCTCTTTTGTCTTTTTCTTGCCGATGCTAGCAGAGGTCTGCACGTCTTGTAACCTTTTATCTTAAAGACCTAATTATTCTAGGCACCATATTACGACAGTTTGAAGCGGGTAGTCCAAACTGGTTGCGTGGTAGTTAAAGCAATTTCGTCATGCATTTAGATCTGCCATACTATTTTGTGCAAAATCGGTTATTTGTAGGGTATGTGTATAAGTGTCAACACTTTGACTCGGAATTTTTTTGACTCGTTGTTTAAAGCTTGGCAAGTATGACATTTCAAGAAAAAAAAAAGAAGTTTAGAAAAAGCAGCGTATCCCGAATTATTAATATTCTTCTCCATCTTCTGGGTTGTTGTCCGCAGAATCAATCCCAACCTGTAGTGAATAAAAGTTGAATGTAAAGTTTTCAAAACAAGGTTATTTAGGTTCCGTGCCGTCTTCTGTTTTTTGTTTTTAAAAGTAAAATTTGCAACGGAAAATTTTGTACGGATGTAGTAAATGAAAATTTGATCAAACCTTTGCTACTTGTCCGAATTTAAGTCATCCTTTAATCGATTCTCAAAAATTCTCTACTTTTTTCAGAAAATTTCTATCTAGTTGGCTGTTAGAAAGTTGTAATAACCTCTTCATAATCTTTTTCAAGGGCAGCCAGATCTTCTCTTGCTTCAGAGAATTCTCCTTCCTCCATCCCTTCACCGACGTACCAGTGAACGAATGCACGTTTAGCATACATGAGGTCAAATTTGTGATCTAGTCTAGCCCAAGCTTCAGCAATGGCGGTGGTGTTGGACAACATACAGACTGCTCGTGGGACCTGCAGTGTTCAGAGTTATCTGTAGTTTTGAAACATAAAAAACCGCAAATATTTAGTTAACAGAATTTTGAGTAGTCAGGTAGTTTTGAATTTCAACTAAATTTACCTTTGCTAAGTCACCGCCGGGAACCACAGTTGGTGGTTGATAATTAATCCCCACTTTGAATCCGGTTGGACACCAATCTACGAACTGGATGCTACGTTTGGTTTTTATTGATGCAATAGCTGCATTCACATCTTTTGGGACAACATCTCCACGGAAGAGGAGACATACAGCCATATATTTACCATGCCGTGGATCGCACTGGAGTCAAAATGTTTCAAAGAAAACAGTGAAGCAATTGCCAACAGTCAATGCGCGCAATCGCTCACTTTAAATTAGAGGAAAAAGACCCGCTGTAACCGTGTGAAAACTTACTTTTACCATCTGATTGTTAGGCTCAAAACACATGTTCGTTATTTCTGCAACAGACAGTTGCTCATGATATGCCTTCTCAGCTGAAACTACTGGTGCGAAAGTTGCAAGTGGGAAGTGGATTCGTGGGTACGGTACCAAGTTGGTCTAGAATCGTTCACATCCCGATAATTAATTAAAAAAACTTAAGGCACTGATGAAGTTAGGTTCTGTATTGATTACTGTAAGGAGACCTGGAATTCTGTGAGATCAACATTAAGTGCTCCATCAAATCGGAGGGAAGCGGTAATTGAAGAAACTATTTGACCAATAAGGCGGTTAAGATTCGCATAGGAAGGTCGGTCGATGTCTAAATTCCTGAAAATTTTTTACTCTACAGAATGCTGTTATTTTTAATCGATAGACGATTAGCATAGCAGTCATATGAACAGCACCTTACAAGACCTTACCAGCATCGCTATTACACAATATTTGGTGGGTGGTTTGAATAATAATTACGGAAACTATTGACAGTCGTACTAGGAGTTGACAATTCTTATACAAAATATTAATTTTTGTACTATGTTAGGGCGGCAGATATCTTCAAGGCTGGAATAGAGTAAATCTACCGCAATCAGAGCACTCAATCCGCCCTTATTCTTTTCTAAGTTCGCATTGTTTTTGATGAGATAACGGAAAAATGGCGAGGTGTACAAAGTTTTTCCGTTCCGTGTACTGGTTTGAAACTTGACCATTTCATAGCGGATTAGACTAAACAAAGTGGTAACTGACGTTCTGATCGTCATTATTTAGTTTTGGTGGCGTTCAGGTAACGGGCCGTTGGTGATTGGCACAATTTACTGAAGTTTAAACCAGGCTTTCTGTCCGTCAAATGAACGTCAGCGAAGTTTCGTTTGGAAAGCAATACAAAGCTAAGGCAATCCTCTATCTAGTTGCCATCGTAGAAGTTTAATCGAGATTGGTCGAGAAAATTTGTGCTTTTCGTCATTTAGGTGAATATAAGACTGAGGAATTGTACAGAAAATGTAAAGTTTGACCAGAATAGAATGATATTAATTTTAAAACATTTTTTAAATGGAGCAAAATAACTCAGTTCTTTTATAAGTTTCCGAGGTTGCAAGTTCTGACGCACCTGAATGGCGATCAAAAATCCGACAAATTTTCATTTCCAATCTTCTAAATTTAAGAAATAATCTGGAGAGAACGCTGTATGGCAAAAGTGAAAAGCTACAGAATGCACTCACTGATTGTATGTGTTCACAGGCCTTGAGCACGCTATTGTTTTGAAAACATTGAAAATTGATTGTTTTTAATGAAGAGACGTTATTGACTGCAGGCAGTAATTACTGAGACTAAGCACTTTTCTAATTAAAGAAGAAAATTGACTTTAAAGAAAATTAAAAAGTTTCTGTTCTACATTTTTATTGTAAATAAACTGTGTAGCTAAATCCAACTTTTTCCTAGTTTCAGTAGTGTAACAATAGTCACAGTAAGTCTGAATAACGTGGCATCATTTGCAAAACAAACTGCTCACTGCTAACCTTCTGCAGATGTCATAAATAGCTTCGTTGTCGACCATAAAAGAGCAATCTGAGTGTTCGAGAGTTGTGTGCGTAGTCAAGATGGAGTTGTAAGGTTCTACCACCGCTGTTGACACCTAATAAAAATCAATTTTAGCTAGACATTTGGAAATTATTAGAGCTAATCTGGTCTTTTGAAAGTAGCTAAAAAGAAGTTTTTCCTCGAAGAATTTTCAGTAGTTCAATGTTGACTTCTACATCAAGTACTACTTCGCAGGACCTGCCTTACTGTAAATTATTTGCAAAGGTTAAAAATTTCAAAAAATAGTTGCTGTAAAACCTGTGGAGCTGGATAAACGCTGAATTCAAGCTTTGCTTTCTTTCCAAAGTCGACCGAAAGACGTTCCATAAGCAGTGACGTAAATCCGGATCCAGTTCCGCCGCCGAATGAATGGAAGACCAGAAAACCTGAAATTGCGGTTCATTCGACTGATGTATACAGCCTTTTGTTTTGAACCAAACTATCTACTGAGATATCTACTGAGAATCGTTTAACCTTGGAGCCCAGAGCAGTTTTCAGCAAGCCTCTGGATACGATCCAGGGTCAAGTCGATGATCTCCTTGCCGATGGTGTAGTGACCACGAGCATAGTTGTTCGCTGCATCTTCCTTGCCGGTGATTAGTTGTTCAGGGTGAAACAACGATCTATAGGTTCCGGTTCGAATTTCATCTAAAAAAAAGCCCAGTCTCAATTTTATGCAGGTGCATTTCTATAATTTTCGTTCCATTTATACGCCATCCAAAATTGTGGCAACTGCCATTTGAAATGGTTTACAAATCGATTTTTAAAAAATCACGTAAATGTTGCCATAAACGGTTATTATATCCTATAGGATCTGAATTATGGTCCACAACTTTAACGGTGCAAAAACAGAAGCCTTTCCCACAAACAATTATGCACTCAAACATGTGCCTCTTTTTAAGGAGGGGATCATTCAAACCTACTAAGCATAACAAATCACCTATAATTGCCAATAATTTTTGCATAATCATTTCAAACGTTCAGTGGTTCCTGAAGATTACTAAAAGTAAAAAGGCGTTTCTTCATTATAAAAATCAAAAATCACTAGTATTAAAATTGAAAATGCAAGAAAAGTTCAAGGTGAGATAACCACCAAAATCGGTTTCAAAAATATTTTAGTCAGTAGTTGGAAAAAAAGGAAAGGAAGAAATTGACCATTGGAACGACAGCATGCAAAATAGAAATTCAACATTATAGGTGGCTAAATGAAATATTTTTTGTCAAAAAATCTTTTCCATTGTTCTAAATAAAGTTTTTAACAGGTTCTCCTGCTTCCTTTGTTCAATAGAAACTGAACTTCATTCTTCCAAATTTGGTGCGAAAACAGGGCAGAAAAAAAAGGAGCGAAAGGAACAAACTCAACATCTGTTAACAACTATTTTCATTGTTTGTGTGTCTGTGTTTTTTCGTAAGGGCATGTTTTTTCATGAAGCTTCAAAGATGTAAAGAAAATTTGTTCTTTGTTTTTTTTTCATTCAACCTTTTTTATTGAAAATTTCACTTTCTTTTC